ATTTTACCCCAAAAAATAAAAGAACAGAGGGGGTGTAATTTGTAATTTACAGACAATATAGGGGCAGGTCTGATAATAACAAAAATGATTGTATAATCAAGTCTTGCTCGTTTCCCAAATTTTCCAATCACAGTAATGGATGCTGCTCTGTTTTCTCCTTCTTCCCTCTTCGGCGGCAACTCCTCTGGTACTCCTTTTACTATTTCCTAAAAATATTCCTAAAGGATTCAAAATGCATTTATTTTATATTAGTTAAAGAGATTTGGGTTTTTTTTTGGCAGATGAAGAGAACACGGAGACCCAGCAAAATGTGGAGAGGAAGCACCAGTTCCCTGGAATGGTGAGTTTAATCATATTTTCAATAAATACCCCCAACCAAGTTTATTATTATTTGTGTTTTGTGCTCAGCTCTTGATTCTGTAATTTGGGTTCCCAGAAATTGTATAGTGTAGCAGTTACTCCCTCTGTCCCCCAAAAAAAATACACGCCTTTCTATATTTATAAATAATTTAACTTTAAGCTTCTCATTTTAATACCAGAATTAACTAATCAAAATCAATTTTGACATTATAGTTAGTGATTGACTCTCCACTTTCTGAAGATTTACTTGGTTTGTGTATTAGTTCTATAAAGTGAATGCAGGTGAAGCTTGATGTATGTACATTTGTAAAATCAATAATTTCGTCTTGTCATTTTTTACTGTGTGCATATTTACAAGAAGATGTGATCTTTTTATGCATTGAAAATTTTTGTTGCATGCTGCTTATCAGCTCTAGTTGTAGGTTTACAAGGAATATCATGGTTGCAAGTTGTAAAATAATAAGTCTAAGGAATCTTTACAATATTATGTATAGTTCCCTTGGACAATTACCTGGGAGAATATACGATTTTGTTATTATTTTTTACTGTACATTGATACCATCTTCTGGCTAAATAAATTCAGTTTGAGATCAGTATTCAGTTAATTGACCAAATCTTCCACTTATCAGAAGTTATGGGGTAAGCTTCCAAGATTTATCAGAATCAGTGGCGAAGCCAGAAAATTTTCCAAGCGTATTCAGACTTGAAAGAAGAAAAAATATTCCCGATAAAGGGTATTCAATATTTATGTTATATACATCTAAAATCAATATTTTACTTATATACACAATGTAATTTTTCGTAATATATCGACAAAGGACCACCCTTAGCAAAGGGTGGTTTCGCCCCTGATCACAATGCTGCTATTTCTTTGTCTTTATGCCAAAATAAATGTGTCTGAGGGATATATGAGTACTGAGTATGTTGTTCATTGCGTTCCTCAGCATGGAAACTAATACACTTTGGCATGCCCCGCAGGAGTTGCTCATCCAAGAATTCTCTTTTCACCAGCTGAATGCTAATTTACTTTGGCCTGGTACATTTGCGTTTGCAGAATGGCTTGCACAGCATACGTCCTGGTTTAGAGGGCGACGCATAATTGAGCTGGGCAGGTAATACCTTAAAGCATTTAACGTTTTGTTCTCTCATTAAAAGATTGGACGTTCTTCAATGTTTTCTCTGCTAAACTTCATGCCTTCACAGTGCAAAGGAACCTTGCACTTCCATTTCTATAATGTTTCTCATTATAGACTGTCATATTAGCAATTTTCTATGACGTGTTTTCGTCTTTAGCAAATGTTTACACAAGTATCGTTCCATCTAAGAAACTTTCAGTTATAATGCTAAGTTTTGCAACTTATAGTTATAATGCTAAGTTTTGCAAAGTAATAGAGAACTTTAATAAAAGCACTTCTTGGTATAAGGAGAATAGACAACTCCTTATATCTTCAGTAGCCCAATTGAAGATGAAGCAGGATCCCAGTATGAAAATCAGAATTGAATTACGTTGTGCAGTTTGAGCAGAAGCTGCTTTGTTGGAATAATTTTGGTACATGCATGTTTTAGAAATGATTAGTGGTTCTGATTTGTGAAGTTATTTTGTACTGTGTTAGTTGTTTGACCTTTGTTAATGTTTATTCCAGATTTTCCTTCTTTTCTGTTATTTAATTTGCAATCTCATTAGTATCTGTCGTTCTATCATCTGAAAGAGTTCTATTTATTTGCATTTATTTGTGTCCTCTTGGCTCTCATGTGTATCTAATTTTGAAAAGAGGAAAGTGGAAGAGAAAAATTTCTTTAAGTTGAAAATGTTAAACTGGTGTCTTTTCCTCTTTCTCTGTCCTTCCTTTGAGACTTATATGTGGTGGTCCTTGTGCTAACTTTTGATTTTTGTCACAGTGGGACTGGAGCTTTGGCCATCTTCTTGAGAAAATCGTTTGAACTGGATATTACAACGTCGGACTATGATGATCCAGATATTGAAGAGAACATAGCACATAATTGTCGGGCAAACGGCGTTTTACCAGCCCTTCCTCACATAAGGCGTTAGCTCTTTTCCCCTTGAAATTTATCCTTATACCCTTCTTTTAACTGTGATGAAAATGCCCCCTGGGGAGAAAGAAAACTATATACCATAAACAAGTAACTTCTGGTCTAATATACAAGTTATGCTTTTTGAGCAAATTTTGAAGAAATAAATTGACATTGCATCATTGTTCTCAGATTCATGGGGAGATGTGTTTCCAATAGCTGATCCAGACTGGGACCTCATAATCGCAAGTGATATCCTACTATGTAAGTAATTTACCTCAGGCTAGCTATCGTCCTGTAGTGGGCTTATGTTTACATGAATTAGGCGGTCTTGACATATCAGATCTCTCATGCGTATCCTCTAACCTTTCCCCTTTCTCCTTTTTCTTGTTCATTTGCTACTTGCAGATGTTAAACAATATGAGAACTTGGTAAAGACCCTATGCTTTCTCTTGAAATCCTACAAGCCAAAAGTTAATGAAACAGGTAATAGTGAAGAAAAGGGTAAGTTTTGTACATTTTGTAAAGCTTGCATATTTATCTTATACAGCACTAATCAGGTTGCTTAACCTGCTCTATCAAAACTCATGGCTCAGATATGTGCCCATTGCCTCGGCCTGCTTTCTTAATGAGCTGGAGGCGCAGAATAGGGAAAGAAGACGAGTCACTCTTTTTCACAGGATGTGAAAAGGCCGGTCTTGAAGTAAACCATTTGGGATCCCGTGTGTATTGCATTAAGCTCAAAGAACCGAGTGCCATTGAAGCAGTATAAGATAATCCAGTGAATTTTAAGAGCGATGGAATTGAGTTTAGCTTAGTGCTTGGTTCTGTGGATACTCCCTTCAAAAGCTGGCTAACCCCATCGTGAGGCCACAGGCGTCTAGTATCCTTCGCCATATCTTCAAGTGTCATTCTTCCATTATTTTGGTCTCGTGCATGTTCTGCAATACTCCCTTTTTTGGGTGGTGTACGAGGATTTCTTTGTTCCTTCTGGGACACATGAAGCTACCTGGTCTAGTGGTAAGTCAAGTCCCCTTACGACATGTAACGCAGAGCCTGATATGGCTCATTTGGGTTGTTGCTTGTTGGAAGTATTGGTATTCTAGCGCGTAAGCAGATTTTTTCATGCATTCAACAGCAATAGGTTTTTCACCATGCTTTTTTGCAAACTTTGGAGCAGCTTAAATTACATTCACTAAAAGGACTAATCCATGCTTATAGTCTCAACAAAATACTTGTACTTGACAGAGGATCACATGCCCTGCAGCCTGCAGTACAAAAGTTGGGACTGAAGCTTATATAGGCTGCACAAATCTTGTCTTAGAAACTGAATTTTTGTTACTATCATTAAAGCAATTAGATTGCAAATTAAATTACATGAGAGCAATTCTCCTCTTTGCTGGATCGAAAAGATTGGGCAATTCTGATACGCAATGCAAGGTAATTAACCAATTATATTGATTAACCAATTAGTCAAAGGATTTTGAGCTGAAATTGAAGAAACAAAGTGATATTGATCCTATGGACTAGGACATTTCTTACCATCTTGTGTATGTTGACGTCTTTCTTTCGGTATCACATGTTCCAAAGCTAATGATGCTGAGTACTTCCGAAAGAAGTATGGCCTAATCAACAAGTGCGAATATTTGGAAAGTCTTCTCTGTCGACCACAAAAGTAGTGAAAATTGCTTGTTTTTTCGTTGATAAAATCAGATATGTTTGGAGAACTCTTCAGACCACAACATAAAAATCTTTAAAATATAAAACAGTTAGGTTCTAACAGTTGCTTTCTTAAACTCTTCCAAAACAAAAATCAAGAGGACTAAAATAGAGTTCAACTTTGAGAAAAATGGTATATATATACATGTGAAGTTCGTAATCAAAGTAATGCAAAATTCAACTCAACGAACCAAAGTAATGTGAAAAAAAAGGAAAAAACATATTTACTTAGAGCGCATGCCTAGCGTACGCTATACCAACATTACCAAACGTCCCAAGCTAACATATTTACCTGTCCTTTTTCCAATCAGCCTTATATGAGTTCCTATAACGATACGCCTATCATTTTAATCATATCCTTTCCACTGTTCATGCATCATCTACTTAAACCAGACTTGTAGTCATGAAGAAATCATATTTCATTATTCCGATACAAAGGTCATTTGTTCATCAGCTTCATCTATAATTTTTTTTGGAATCTTTCAACAATGATGAATGAGTGACAGATTAATCAAACTAAGGAGGAAAAAAAATAAAAGATCCTGTATAAAGAATCAACTAACTAGGATACTAAATATTCTATACACAAAAAAAAAAAAAAAAACTATCTTACCTCAACGAAAAACAAATCAATCAATGAAAAACAAATCAATCAATGAAAAACAAATCAATATACAGCCAGACCTCTCTATAACAACATCCTTATATAATAACACTTCATTATAAAAGTTAAACTTTTTCGGAACCAAATTTTATTTTCTGTTATAATATATATTTTCGATAACAACAATACTCTATAACGTTCAAAAATATTTGGAACTGAAGTTTGACTGTATAGGTCAATGCCTCCAACAATATAAAGGAACAAGGAGTCACTATTATGTATAAGACCGCGAGAGAAAGAAAAAAAAGAGAGTGTAGCCAAGAGTTTCTCACAGCCGTTCGTTGATTATCCAGCAACACGAGTCTTGAAAATCAACTCCCTCCAAAAATGGTGTTCTCCCTCCATCACCTGCAACTCTTCCATTCGCCCACCAGATTTAGCTCTCAACCAAAATCAACAACTAACCACCCTCTAATCTCCCTCAAATTACCAACAAGACTATCTAATAATCCACTTGCCTTTGCTCAAAACGCCGCCACAAGCCACATCGACAGTGAGAAAGCAGCCTTATTGCCTCCGCCACTGAGGAAAGAATTAATGCCGAACCATGTTGCGGTGATAATGGATGGGAATAGAAGGTGGGCTAAAATGAAAGGGTTGCCTATTGCCTTAGGTTACGAAGCGGGTGTTCGAGCACTTAAGAATCTTGTTCAGCTGTGTTGCGATTGGAGAATTAGTGTTCTTACTGTCTTTGCTTTTTCCTCCCAAAATTGGTTCCGTCCAAAGGTAAAGTCTTTGAGTTCCTTTTTTAAGTCTTGGGGTTAATGATATTTGGTTTTATTTTGTGTTTGCTGTAAAAAAATTCTCTTGTGTTGTAGATGGAAGTTGATTTTTTGATGGGCTTGTTCGAAAGAGGGCTAAAAAATGAACTTGAAGATTTTGTGAGGTATATTAAACTCTAATGCTGACATAAATTTCCGTATTATACTAACTAATTCATTGTTTGGTTTGTAGCATTAAAACTCAGCATCACTAGTGTAATCTTGCATAACTGATTAGTTATTTTCGATATACAATTCTACTTAACTAATCAAACATTTGGGTTGATATACTAAATTCTAGCTTATTAACACTGTTTGCAATGAATTTGTGCAGAAAAATAAAACTGCAATCACAAACAACTATAAAGAAAAAGGATTTTATTGATAAACGTTGTAGGTTACAACTCTGTTTATCCCTTGATTCTTCCGTCCGATTTATTCTACGTGATTCGAGGGCCTTACTCGAACGTAAGACTTTAAGCAAGATATATTTGACATGTCTTTGATCTCTTAATGAATATTCCAAGAGTTTCATGGAATTTCGGAAATCTCATATTTGATCTCTTTGTGCATATTCCGAGCGTTTATGAAATTGTTGAGATCATCTTTGAAGGACACATGTAGCCTTATTTATAGGCATGAATTAGGCTTTGGGTGGAGTAGCCACTAAGTAACCCTAATAGACTCCTAATATTTCGAGAGTTGTCTTGAATATAGTAGTTATCTTGATGTTAAAATTTCAGTGTCTACAAACACCAACATAATTTATGCGAGAATAATTTATGCGAGAATCTGTGGATTGTTTTATACGGGATAGAATGTGGACTATTAATACACTAGTAAATTTGCTCGCGTGAAGGCTTGGTACATTTACATAGAGATTTAATATGATGACAACAAATTTAGATTCAATTCCTCTTTTTTATTGGAAAGATAAAGCTTATAAACAACATACATTTGGGTTTATTCATCCGTCAGTTTAAAAATTTAGTTTATTTAGAGCATATACTTCTATATAATATTAATTATATACTACCAAAGATGCTTATTTAAGTTTTATCTAATTAAGAAAGATCTAAAGGAGTATTAGAAAAAAAAAAAAAAAGAAGTAATAACTCATATAAGAGTATCTAAAGACAAAAGTTCCCTTAAAGTAGATTAGTAGATAATTCCGGCATAACATCTTTGTTTTTATTTTCACCATATAACAATTCCTACATTATTATTCACCACACGGTTTCGTTGTATTATAACTTTTGTGTAAATAGACTGTGAACCAAATGACCTTTTAGTACATAAAACATGGTTTATAAGGCTATGGCTTTAGTAACGCATGTTGTGTGCTAAGGTCATTAATTTGTTGAAGTCGCCAAAAACCCAATGTTAAGATAATTGCTTCACTAATATCATTAATTAGTTGAAATTACTGTCAAGATGAATGCTTAACGTGTTAACACCAGTTGATCACAAACTTTGACTTAATAGACTCTTTATGTTTGTAGTTGCAACTTCATCAGTTCATAGTACAAATTCCAATTTTCACCTGTCCAAATACACATGCTTGCATGCCCTTTCTTCTTTTCCTACTTAGAGCTTTAACTTTGAGTTGTTATGATTGACTTTATATAGTCTACAGGGTTTCCTTATATGATTAATTATATTTCTACAGAGCAGGGATTCGGATGTCTATAATTGGAGACTCCAGTAAGCTCCCCAAGTCATTACAGGACTTAATAGATAAGGCTGTAAAGACTACTAAGGAAAATTCACGGCTTCACCTCGTAGTTGCAGTCAACTACAGTGGACAGTATGATGTTGTACAAGCTTGTCAAAACATTGCTCAAAAAGTGAAGGATGGCATTATCGAACCCAAAGACGTAGATGGTTTCCTAGTAGAGCAGGAGTTACAAACAAACTGTACTGGTTTTCCGTGTCCTGATTTACTTATAAGGACTAGTGGGGAGCAGAGACTTAGCAATTTCTTACTCTGGCAATTGGCCTACACTGAACTGTTCTTTTCACATTCACATTGGCCTGACTTTGGAGAAACTGAATTTTTGGAGGCTTTATGTTCCTTCCAGCAAAGGCAGAGGCGCTATGGTGCACAGAGTTCCTAGCTTATGCCATGTACTTTTAGAGTAACTCTGAGGCTGAACAAACATCATTGAATATCTGTGATTCTGAAGGCAAGTTCTTGCAAGAAAGAATTTTCGGGTATTTAAGAGAAGCCAATACTTTTGAAAAGTCTACTTCTTATAATCATTCGGCACCTGAATCGAAATGATGTTGGGATTTTACTATAGGCCCAAAAGAATACTCAACTTCTTTCATGTCTATAAGCTGAGGACAGTAGTCAAAGAAAACCTTTTATGGCCTGGATTTCGGAGAGTAGTCAAAGAAGACCTTTTGTGGTCTGGATTTTTCTCGTCCACTGGATTACACATCTCTCATGGCCCCGCAAATGGACAACTGTAAGACGTTTCATCTAATTGCCAATTACAGTCTATCTTGTCTCCAAACTAGTAAATGAGGCAGTACGACTAGGGTCATAAGTATGGTATCTCTGCCACCTGATCGAGGAGCATCCCGGATGGTCATAAATAACTGGTATAGACTGGACATGAGGGACAATAAGCTACTTCAAACTTATCTCTACCACCTGATCGAGGACCATCTGGCATGTATTCCTCTATACTATTGTGATTATGCATGCTAGCTTTGAGCTGAAGGTCTATCGGAAACAGCCTTTCTACCTGCTTAAAGGTAGGGGTGAGGCTGCGTACGCACTATCCTCCCCAGACCCCACTTATGGGACTACACTGGGTACGTTGTTGTTGTTGTTTGCTTATGTCTTGTCCCCTGTTACAGTTCCTCAACTTACTGAAAATGCAATTACTTAATACCACTATGATGCATTTGATGCCATAGTTTGAGCAAGTGATACATGTAATGTAGCATTCAGTTTAAAGATAATTGAGTGGTTGGAGAGCGGATCTTTTGCTATGTGGATAACACCTTGAACAACAGGTATATAGTCTATAGACTCAGCCCCACACTATCTTTTTCCTTTTTTCAAATAGAGAATACATTTTGTGCAACAAACTGTATGCTGAAGGAAGAAATATTGAGCCTTGAAGTTTTTAGAATGTTTCCAGTTATACCCTGAAAACTAACTAGTATTGATGTGATTATATTATCTGTTACTTCGTGAGACTTTTTGTAAACTGCAAGCCAGTTACTAAAATGGAATCTTGATACTCATGAAAATCAAGATTCCATAAGAAATAGAATCACTATTCTTCCAATTTGTGAATGGTCAAAGCTTTTTTGGCTATTAGTGTTTATATGGAGTATAAGTTGTAAATTCTGACTGATGAGAGGCGGAGCCTTGGAGCTACGGTAAAGTTATCTTCATATGACTTATGGGTTCGAGAAAGCCATTGGCACTTGCATCAAAGTGGACTGCGTACATCACATCCTTTTGCATCCGGTCCTTCTCTGCATCCCGTGTGAACATGAGATGCTTTGTGTATTGGGTCGTCCTTTTATCGATTGATGAGAGGCCCAAGTAAGCAAACAAGACTTTCCTTTAGAGCTAGTTTAAGATCTAAACCACTTGGAGGATAAAGGTTCAACTTTAGTAATTCCTTCTTACTCTTTCAGAAGAAGTAACTATCTCAAGTTTCATCCATAAAAGTAATGATCTTTATTAATTTAAGAGGCAGGAGTTATTTTTTCTTATTTTGCACAACTGAACTATAACCTATTACGAGTCTTGTGAGATGATTTATGTTCCTAGAGCTAGAATCAAATGATCAACTTATGATATATCAACAAGAGGAAAGAATAAGTGCAAAAGCAACTGTTACATTTGTTATTTTTGACAACTCAATTTTCACAATACTTGAGGGTCTTCCTTAAAAACCCTCAAATTTAGATAGGTTAGTTGTCCAAGAAATGGGTTGTTCATCACTCCACGGATGCTAAAGTTGAATTTTTCTCTAAGGCAAATCAAGAAGTTGTTATGTCATTGTCATAGACAACCAATCATATTTGGCCCTACTACTAATTAAATTAGTAGTATAATCCATTTTAAATATAGAACTAATAAAAAAAATGATGCTATACATCATTGGTTATATTGCTTGCTTTTAATTTCCTACTAAAGATGGTCGTCTCAATGATGTTGCTTCTGGATATGAGACGAGCAAAAATTAGAATATGCAGCCTAATCAAGATGACAATTTCTATCATGGGCCAGCAAATTAATGACAAAGTTGGGATAGTATTATTTTCCACTGTACTAACCGCCTAACTAATTTTACTGCTCCTTAATTAATTGTCTACAGCTGACGCTTACAAGTTATAACCAATGGACTTGATCAGGTTAGCTTATTAGCTACGAGTTTAATCAAATCTAGTATTTCGTCTTGGAACATGGGATATATATGTGAAACTAAACTTTAACAAATTTTGCATTTCAAACCTATAATTTCAAAAGTTCAATCAGAGTGAAAGGTTGAACTCATCGAGTTTAAATGTGAATCTGCCTCAAAGAAGGTAAGTGGTGGGGATTAATTTGAGTGCTAATATCAATTGAGTCACTGGAATACTTACTAATGACCCATTTACAGCAGCAATCATAAATACGGTTAAGTCAAAACTCAATGTTTTAAGCAATAATTGTTGATACTCAAGTCAACAACTAATTAAAGTCAGGTTTTTATAGGTGGTTATGGGTTTCTTTAAATAGATTAACCGTATTTTGGTTGGTACATATTACTACTACAATGTTTATTTTTCCAGGGTCATGATATAATTAATCTTGTCTCTTTTTTCTTTTTTCCTTTTCTCTCTCTAAAGTTTCTTGATCCATTCTAGAATCATAATATTGCAATTGTACACTCCTAGTTAAGCAAATGATAATTAATTATTGTCTTTGGCAATGTGCAGGAAACCTATGACTTGAATTCCTCATTTCCATGTTCATGCATAGTAAATACGTGGTATACGGTCAACTCGGGTTTGCCCTTTTTATGCGACTGATCGAGGCTGGAGCATGATTAGCCGAGGATCAGCTTCGAGTTATATCAAACTACGATGCAGAGTTAGGTTGTCAAGCTTGAGACCCTGAGACCGATTAAGATCGAGACCGACCAGAACCGGTACCGACCAATATTGAGATCGACCAAGATCGGAACTGAATAAGATAGAGATCGAGGGAAGCTTACTGGGTCGAATAGCGGAATGACGAAATATCCGCAATCGGGCGAGGATCACGATGCAAATCTCGGCACGTATCAAGAAGAGGCCGATTAGTTAGCCAATCATGGGATCTCTTACTGTATTTAGAATTGTACCAAGAATAGGACTCCCCCTACTATTTTAAGGGGGTCTGATCATTTGTAAAAGACATCATATTCACGTTACAAAAGCAATATATTCACTTTCTCTTAAGCTCTCAACATTCCTGTTACTTTGCTCATACTTTCTGGAAAAATAGTCACTTGATTCGAAGGCAACTTAGCTCAAGGATTAAAGCTATACATTTCATTTGGTTTGTTTTATTTATTAATTTCAGTATCCATTTACGTTTTCTCACAGTTTGTGCCAAGTGAATCACGTGTCCTTAAAATAACAGTATAAATTCAATTGTTATCCGTTTTTAGGGTAAACAGTTTGGTGCCCACCGCGGGGCTAAGGATACTAGTGATTGCCTGGTACAATTATCGTAACACACACTATTTTACGCTTGTTCTTTGAAGTTTCTTTGATTACAGGATTAAAAAATGTCAAACTCTCAGTCAGTACCACAACATATTGACAATGATCTCAGCCACTACGGCGAAAATGAGAACATTGCACCAGGAAACATTGTACCCCCTGCTGGCCTCGATGGAGCTTCGGTTGTAGACCCGATCGATGTCAGTTCACATATAGCCATCAATGGAAATGCAGCCGTCGATCCCAAAAGAACCATTCGTGGGGGTACCCGATCAGCTACACAGAATACACATGGCGGTGAAGATGGCGGGATCAGCCTGCGGGTAATCTTCAAAATGTTGCATACCCAACAGGCAGCAATAGCTCAGCTCCAGAATTAGAACCAAACGCCAAGCAGGGTCGAACTCGAGCCATCCCGAGAAGTTATACACAGGGTTGAATCGGCTTCGAGAAAATCGAACGAGAAAGAATGGGAGACCAATCCTATTATTATAAAGATGTCGAAGAATTGACAAAGCGGATCGAGACATAGGAAATTAAGATCGAGGAAAATGATAAGAAATTGGAAACCTATAACTCCAAGGTCGACCAAATCCCCAGGGCACCTCCGATACTGCTGAAGAAATTTGGGGAGACTTTATCGAAGGGTGCCATGAAATGGTATCATAATTTACCGCCTAATTCTATTGATTCGTTTGCTATGCTCGCAGATTCTTCTGTAAAGGCACACGCCGGAGCCATTAAGGTTGCAAAAAGAAAGTCGGACCTTTTCAAAGTAAGGCAGAAGCAACGAGATGCTCAGGGAATTCGTATCTCGGTTCCAAACGGAGAGAATGGATTTTCCACCGGTCACCGATGATTGGGCTGTTCAAGCTTTCACTCAAGGCCTCAACGCTCGGAGTTCTATAGCCTCACAGCAGTTGAAGCAAAATTTGATCGAGTATCCAGCTATCACTTGGGCCGATGTACATAATCGGTATCAGTCGAAGATCATGGTCGAGGACGATCAATTGGGACTCCTTTCGGGTCCGTTTATCCTAACAGGCCCGTGGATAGAATCAAGAGGGATATAAGGCCAAATAGAGATCGATATTAACCGTATAATGGAGACCGTAGAGGCATCGGATCTGGGTGAAACTTTTCACGGAATGAAAGGAGAAATGATCGAAGTCAGAGTTCACGGGGACTTATGAGCAAGAGTGGTTTCGATAGGGATGTCGGGTCCAAAGAAGCAGCGCGATTGTCAGAATATAACTTCAACATAGATGCATCGGCCATCGTATGGGCCATTGAACGTATCAAAGATACTAGGTGGCCTCGACCTCTGCAGACTAATCCGACCCAGAGAAATCCCAACCAAATGTGCAAGTATCATGGCAGTCATGGCCATAAAATAGAAGATTGCAAGCAGCTAAGGGAGGAAGTAGCCCGATTGTTCAACGAGGGTCATCTTCGGGAATCACTTCAAAAACAGAGATTCCAGTAGACAGAACGAGCAGGAGGAACCACTACACGTGATTCATATGATTATTGGAGGGGTCGATACTCCTCAAGGACCAGTATTAAAACGCACCAAGGTGTCGATCATAAGGGAGAAGCGACTCAGGATTACGTAACGGAAGGAACCTTGTCTTTCAATGATGAGGATGCAGAAGGGATCGAACAACCTCACAACGACGCACTGTAATATCTGTACTTATGAATAAGACTCAAGTTAAACGTGTTTTGATTGATCCAGGTAGCTCGGCCAACATAATTCGATCAAGGGTCGTAGAACAGCTCAGCCTACAGGATCAGGTTGTACCCACGACCCGAGTTCTAAACGGCTTCAATATGGCATGTGAAACCAACAAAGGAGAAATAACTTTTCTAGTTAACGTGGCTGGGACCATCCAAGAAACAAAGTTTCATGTGATCGAGGGCGATATGAGGTATAATGCCCTATTCGGGAGACCGTGGATCCATAACATGAGGGCAGTGGCTTTGACCCTTCACCAGGTTCTAAAATTCCCAATGCCAGAGGGAGTCAAAATGGTCTACGGGGAGCAACCCGCCACCAAGGAAATGTTTGCCATCGACGAAGTGATACCGATATCAGCGCTCTCATCAACAAAAGAGTCAAGTTCGAAGGGAAAGCAAGAGATTAAATAGCAACCATAGACACCGGCCTCGACCCAACCGGAGGAGCAGGGGACTTACGAGGATGATGACTATATGGTCCTCGATCCTTCATAATCCCTAATGATTCTGATGCCACAAAATCAACGGTCGAAGAGTTGGAATAAATCATACTGATCGAGCATCTGCCCGATCAAAAGGTATACCTGGGCACGGGGTTAACTCCCGAGCTCAAGAAAAAACTTATTCAATTTCTTATAGCTAATATGGATTGTTTTGTCTGGTCCCATCTCGATATGACAGGGA